TTCATAATCAGCTAAGTCACCAGCAAGTTATCAAATCATTCTCAGTCATGTCACTCAGTCACTGAAGTCATAAGTCATCAAGTCATCAGTAATCTTCGTTAGTCAAGTCACTAATAATAATCATTCAGAAGTCATCAAGTCCCCAGTCTGAAGTCATCAGTATTCATCAAGTATTCAGTAAGTCATCAATCACATTAAGTCATCAAGTAATCTTAAGGGAGTCGAGAACTCATTAAATATCAAGTCATTCAGTAAGTCAGGCAAGTAACCCGCAATCATATCATTAGTAAGCAATCACACAACTCATGTTTACCCTTTTTTTGTTTTACAAAAAAACACTTCATTACTGCACAGGTTATCTTTGCTAATATCTTTTTTTCTTTTTTTAAAATTTTAAAACTTAAGTCTTATACCTCTTCCGCCACTTTCAGCAACACTGGGTTTGGGTACTGAGGTCATGATAGGGCAGAACAGAATAGTTATTTAAAAAATAACACAATTCACAAAAATTTTAGCAAGGGGAAAACTTGGTTTTACATTAGGAATTACAACCTGCGTTGTGGGTGGTGTCGGGGGGTGGTGGGGATGGGGAGGGTCCCCGGTGCTCCACAAAAATTGGGGCCCCTTGAGGAGAAGAATTTTTTTTCCTTCCCACAAACTGAACCGTGTTAAATTAATTATACGACGTGTTACATAAAATTGTGTCGCAATTCTTCATTCATGCAATACTCAAATCGTGCCAAATAAACTCGTGCTAAATGATGGTCTACTGTATATGCATATATGCTTCAATGTAAACACTTGATCTACACATCCCCTACCCACTCTGAAACCTCCTTGCTCATCCACAATCCTACATTTTGTCATACCTCTAATTCTTTCAATAATAATAACCCGTATACTTTTCCTGGTATATTCAGTAAACTAATTCCTCTATAATTTTTACAATCTCTTTTGTCCCCCTTCCCTTTATATAAAGGAACTATACATGCTCTCTGCCAATCCCTAGGTACCTTCCCCTCTTTCATACATTAATTAAACAAAAATACCAACCACTCTAACACTATATCTCCCCCTGCTTTTAACATTTCTGTCACAATCCCATCAGTTCCAGCTGTTTTAACCCCTTTCATTCTACATAATGCCTCACGTACCTCCCCCACACTCACATCAAGTTCTTCACTCCTAAAAGATGGCATACCTCCCTGGCCAATGCATGAAATTACTGCCTCCCTTTGTTCATCAACATTTAAAAGTTTCTCAAAATATTCCTGCCATCTACCCAATGCCTCCATCTCCCCATCTACTAACTCCCCTACTCTGTTTTTAACTGACAAATCCATTCGTTCCCTAGGCTTTCTTAACTTGTTAACTTTTTTTTTTCTTATTTTCATTAAAATTTCTTGACAGGGCCTCTCCCACTCTATCATCAGCTCTCCTTTTGCAATCTCTCACCACTCTTCACCTTTCTTTTACTCTCCATATACTCTGCTCTTATAACATTTCTGCTTTGTAAAAACCTCTCATAAGCTACCTTTTTCTTTTTTATTACACCCTTTACTTCGTCATTCCACCAGTCACTCCTCTTTCCTCTTGCACCCACCCTCCTATAACCACAAACTTCTGCCCCACATTCTAACACTGCATTTTTAAAACTATTCCAACCTTCTTCCACCCCCCCCCCTTCCCACTACTCATACTTGCACTAGCCCACCTTTCTGCCAATAGTTGCTTATATCTCACCCTAACTTCCTCCTCCCTTAGTTTATACACTTTCACCTCTCTCTTACATGTTGTTGCCATTTTCCTCTTGTCGCATCTACCTCTTACTCTAACTGTAGCTACAACTAAATAATGATCCGAGATGTCAGTTGCCCCTCTATAAACATGTACATCCTGGAGCCTACCCATCAACCTTTTATCCACCTTGCCCTATACATACACTAAATCACAGCTTCCCTATCTTCATCAACATTTAACAGTTCCTCAAAATATTTCCTCGATATTTCTGAACCTCTAACTCTCCATTTAATAACTCTCCTCTCCTATTTTTAACTAACAAATCCATTCTTTCCCTAGGCTTTCTCAACTTATTAATATCACTTCAAAACTTTTCTTATTTTCATCAAGATTTGTTGATAACATCTCACCCACTCTCTCATTTGCTCTCTTTTTACATTGCTTCACCACTCTTTTAACCTCTCTTTTTCTCTCCATCTACTCCTCCCTCCTTGCATCACTTCTGCTTTGTAAGAACCTCTCATATGCTAACTTTTTCTCTCTTACTACTCTCTTTACATCATCCTTCCACCAATCACTCTTCTTCCCTCCCGGACCCATTTTCCTTTAACCACAAACTCCTGCTGAACACACTAACACTATATTCTTAAACTTACCCCATACATCTTCTACCCCATTGCTTGTATTCTCACTAACCCATCTGTCCTCCAGCAGTTGTTTATATCTTACCCTAACTACCTCCTCCTTTAGTTTTTAAACCTTCACTTCTCTCTTACTTGCTGCTTCCATTTTCCTTGTATCCCATGTACCTTTTACTCTCACTAAATAATGATCCGATATATCCGTTGCCCCTCTATGAACATGTACATCCTGAAGCGTACCCATCAAACTTTTATCCACCAATACATAATCAAACTCTAATTCACATATTTTTTTTAATTTATACTCCCATGTTCGGTAGGACAGTGGAGTGAGTGATGGTAAAAGTATTTATTCTTTTTTGGATCACCCTACCTTTGTGGGAGATGGCCAGTGTGACAAATAAAAAAAAAATTATACCCTTTCTTCTTCTGTAGTTGATCATTTAACATTACTGTTACTCTCTTCATTTGTTCTAGTTATCTCAGTTACACAGAATTTAATTTCATTCCCTCTGCTGCACTGAACTTGTTTCACTTAGAGCTAGGACATCGAGCTTCTTGTCATTCATAACATTCACATTCAGTTGTTTTATCTTTATTACACCCACACACATTCAACCTTCCCACCTGGAGGTGGGAAGTATAGTGCCTGTACTCTAAAGGAGGGATGGCAAGATTTGCAGTTTGGAAGGGCATCTGAACTGTAGTATCTATGTGCCTCTGGCTTGACAGTGATAGAGTGAATGATTGTTAATGTGTTTTATTTCAGGTCACCCTGCCTCAGTGTCAAATGGCCAGTGTGATAAAAACTACCTTTTGTATATGAGTATATGCAAACTATAGTCGCTACACAATATTAGATTAATTATACATTAGCTTACAGCAGTATTAACCCTTTCAGGGTTTCAGCCGTACTAGTACGGCTTACGCACCAGGGTTTTTGACGTACTAGTACGCCTAAATTCTGGCACCCTCAGATCTAGTGAGAGAAAGCTGGTAGGCCTACATATGAAAGAATGGGTCTATGTGGCCAGTGTGTGCAGTATAAAAAAAATCCTGCAGCACACAGTGCGTAATGAGAAAAAAAAAAACATTGACCGTGTTTTTGGATTAAAGCCGACTTTGCACTGTATTTTTGTATGGTATTTATTGTTGTATTCTAGTTTTCCTGGTCTCATTTTATAGAATGGAAGACATATTACAGAAATTGAGATGATTTTGACTGGTTTTACAATGAAAAGTACCTTGAAATTGAGCTCAAAGTAGCAGAAATGTTCGATTTTTGCCGAAGTTCAAAAGTAAACAAATCATGCCAGGCGTCCAGTACACGTCAACTGGTGAGTCTGATATTCTTTCACAAGTGTGCTGATATTATTTATACCATTTCTACACTAATGCAGTAGTCTGCATAACAGTAAATCTTCTATTTTTTTTGTGAGAATAAAAATTCAAAGTGGAAAGCAAAAGATTGTAAGACGGGGGTGGGGACGTGACTAATGAACAGAGGAAATGTTATTTTAGTGCCAGGAATGTCTTTCTTGTTTATTCTGGACTCTTCGGAAATTGCCATCTTTTGAAATTTGTGTGAAATTGGCAAAATTGCTAAATTCTGACCACTGTATTGGATAGTTGAAATCGGTAAATGGGTGGTTTCTTGTACTCATTCGATAGAAAAAATAGAGTTCTAGTGAAATAGTTATGATTTTTGTCGACTAGTACACTGGAATTGGCTGAAAATAGGGCTCAAAGTGGGCAAAATCGCCAATGCGTAAACATCATCGAGACCGCTAACTTCGTGAGAGCATAATTACGTAAGTTTTCCATCAAATTTCATACTTTTGGTGTCATTATGATCAGGAAAAGATTCTCTATCTTTTCATAAGAAAAAATATTTTTTTTTTTTTTTTTTTGAAATGTGAGTGACCCTGAGAATAAGTCTCGGAGAGGGCCTGTCGACCCTGAACGGGTTAATGGTTATTTTCTGGCTAACACTTGTAGGGACTGCACCTCCAGTTAAATTTGCCAAGTGACTGAAAAATCTGCTGGTTGAAAATGAGTCAGCATGCAGTGAGAAATAATTTTCATGTGACCTGTGCACAGCTTACTCAGTGGCATCTGGCAGCCAACTGGTTGATAAATGTTTTGCTGAAGCATTGAGCTTCTTTTCATTCATAATATTGTCAGTATCCATATTTTCAGTGGAGAAAGGAAAGACCAGCATTTATTGCACAATTCAAAACAAGTAATAAGTTTCTGTTTTTCAGTTGTGTGTTATTCAAATACTACAACAAATCCTCCATTTAATGGATGGAAATACAGAACAGAATATGCTGGGTCAGTAGATTTGGAAACAATAGACAAAATCCTTTGATCGCAGAATTGTTCATTACTGTTACAATCACAGCAAAACAATCTTTTCTCTATGCACTACAGTTGCCATTACTGACCACCCTATCCTCCCAGTTAGTCAATCAAATAAAGGGTTTACTGTAATTTGTTTGTTTTTCTTTAAAATATCAGAGTTGTGATTCAAAATTATATTAGTATATGTGAAAGAAATGTTAAACAGTGTACAGTACATCAGTGATAACTCCAATAACAGCTCTGTTTCTCCTGCAGTCCTGTCTCATTATCAGATGTGGAGTCTCTAGATTCTGAGTTTCATCAGTCTCTCTTGTGGGTGAAAGACAATGACATCACAGATATGTTGGAGCTCAACTTTTGTGTTACTGAGGAGATATGTGGACATGTGGTTGAGAAGGATCTGAAACCTGGAGGGAAAAATATTGCTGTTACTGAGAGAAACAAGAAGGTAGTAATTCTAGATTGTCACTTGCATGTTAAAGGAAATTATATTGAGCCATACTCATGATTAGGTTTATATATTTTTTCATGTTTTCATTTTCTTGTTGATCTTGAATTGTGATGCATTATATTGCTTTGTAAATTTATAATGATTAAAAAATCAGTAACAGTATCTTTGCAAAGATTTTTATATTTTCATAATGCAGTTATAAATAATGTAGTGTATTCATTTTCTTTTTTATCAGATTATTAAATAATTTTTTATTATCTTTATGACAGGAATATCTCGAGAGAATGGTGAGATGGCGCTTAGAGCGAGGAGTAAGTGAACAGACGGAGAATATGGTCCGTGGCTTCTATGAGGTTATTGATCCTCGGTTGGTTGGAGTGTTTGATGCTAGAGAACTGGAATTGGTTATTGCTGGAACCCTTGAGATTGACGTTGCTGACTGGAGGAAGAATACTGAATACAGATCAGGTATACATTACATGTACTGTCAACATTTTTTACATCACTCCTATGTGTTTACCATCAAATTACTTTTCTTATCTTAAACCTTTTGTCAGGTGGTCATCAGTATCAAGTCTTGCATCTTCATCAAAAGTACTGTACTCAAACTTCTCTGTCATAATTAATATTGTCTCATTTTGTCAAATACCATCACTTTTGATTTTATGGGCATTCATCTTTAATTTTTCTCTTATACCATTTAATTGAAGAAATTCCTTGATGTATAAAGCAAAATTTCACTGCAACTGTCATCACTGTGCAACATGAACTTTTCTCTCTTGTGATGGTGCATGAACTTCTAAATTTCAAGCTTCTAAATTTGAATGCAGAATTTATTGTGATTAGATCTGTCTCACACACACATTCAACCTCAGTTTAATGACCTAGATAAGAACTAGAGAAAAGGTTTAATAAGTAAATAAATATGTGCGGACTTAGTTCGCTTAATCATACAACTACCAGACATGGACAAACATCCAATAAAACAGACTTAGTCTTCTGTATTGATACCACAACCGAACATACAAAGAAAAAACTAATGCAACTTATTTTTTACAGAGTTTTACAAGGTTAGGTTAAGGATTCCTAACTTTATTTACAAGCTAAGAGCTGTTACCTACATCAGCTCACTTGAAGGCCTTTTTAATGTTTTGGGACATACAAATATAGAACAGGATGAAATTGGAGCCATCTGTGGGCCAGCAGTTTCTTTTGATCAACTGACTGTTTCGTTGATATTATGTTGTGCGACCATGTTCCAGACTAAGTCATCCTGGGAATAAATGATCTCAGATGAAGTAATGTTCTGGAGAAGGGTACAGTCAGAGTGAAGTTGCTACTTGCTGCCCATCTTGTTGTTTAGAAGCTCACTTCTCACTCACCTTGGAGTGGAGCTAAGTGTGGTACTTTGACAATACAGTGGACCCCTGGTTAACGATATTTTTTCACTCCAGAAGTATGTTCAGGTGCCAGTACTGACCAAATTTGTTCCCATAAGGAATATTGTGAAGTCGATTAGTCCATTTCAGACCCCCAAACATACACGTACAAACGCACTTACATAAATACACTTACATAATTGGTCGCATTCGGAGGTGATCGTCATGCGGGGGTCCACTGTATTGGTCTTGTACATAACAGTAAGGCCACCCACAGTCCTCCGGTGTTGAAGGCTCTGCTGAAGGGACAGATCCATCCAGGCTTGGTCAGGCAATCCAAGAAAGTGGAGCATACTCAAGGTGTCATTGTACTTGTGCCTCATACAGAATCTTGCAACCTTTACTATCGAGGAGATGCAAGATAAGTCTAAGTGCTTTAAGCTTCCTGGCCACCTTGTTTGCAAGATTTACTACATGATTCTTCATGGTCACTTCGTAGTTAGATTTAACCCCCAAGGCTATATCAGCTTCATCACCAGGTACCAACACTTTCCCATTCATTTTTTTTTACACAGCAATATCATCATGGTGCCTAGAGACCATCATCACCATTTGCTTTCATATCTCTCTCTCTCTCTATATATATATATCTCTCTCTATCTCTCTATATATCTCTCTCTCTCTAATCTTTCTATATCTATATCTCTCTATATCTCTATCTTTCTCTGTCTCTGTCTGTCTCTGTCTGTGTCTGTCTGTCTCTGTCTGTCTCTGTCTGTCTCTGTCTCTGTGTCTCTCTGTCTCTCTCTGTCTCTCTCTGTCTCTCTCTCTCTCTCTCTCTCTCTCTCTGTCTCTGTCTCTCTCTGTCTCTCTCTCTGTCTCTCTCTCTGTCTCTCTCTCTGTCTCTCTCTGTCTCTGTCTCTGTCTCTCTCTGTCTCTCTCTCTCTCTCTCTCTCTCTGTCTCTGTCTCTCTCTGTCTCTCTCTCTGTCTCTCTCTGTCTCTGTCTCTCTCTCGTCTCTCTGTCTCTCTGTCTCTCTCTCTCTCTCTCTCTCTCTCTCTCTCTACTCTCTCTCTCTCTCCCTATCTCTCTCTCTATCTCCCTATCTCCCTATCTCTCTCTCTCCCTATCTCTCTCTCTCTCTCTCTGTATATATATACAGTAGGGCCCCACTTATACGGCGGGTTAGGTTCCAGGCTGTCGCCGGAAAGCAGACATCGCCGGAAGGCAGAGCGCCATTTTTTTCCATTTATAAATGCATATAAATGCCAGACAACAAGTTTACACTAAATTAAATTAAGTTAGTAATAGAACTAGGCATTAAAAACACACAAAGTAAAATACATTCATTATCTTAAAGTATTTGTAATCTTAATGTAGGGAGAGAGGTGAGTAGTACTTATTTGTAGGAAGTCAGGTGCAGGTAGCCCAGGTGTAGGCAGCCCTGGCTCCCCATCTCATACTTAATATATGATATTTAAAACATCCCAGAGTTAAAATACACATACAATACACTCATTATTTACCTTAAAATATGTGTAGTCTTAATATAGGAAGAGAGGTGAGTGGTATTTATTTGTAGGAAGTCAGTGTAGGTAGCCGGTAGGTGTAGCCCGTCTGGGCTACACCTACCGGCTACCTACACTGTGGCCCAGAGCCATATTATTAACATTGACATACTTTGTTCACTGAATTTAATCATTTCTAACAACTACCTTTAGATGCCATCATAAACGAAGGGAGAAGTAATGAATAATTCATACCAAAAATTGTAAACAAAAGCGGAGTGGGGGAGTGGTTGGGCCAAATGCAGATTCATACACATTTTCTCTGATGGCTGAACAGAAAAAACATAATGTTGTCCCTCCACCCGGCTACCACACAGCTCCACATGTATTATCAGAGCACATATAAAATATGCAATAAATGCTAGACAAGTTTACACTAACTTATATTAAGTTAGCAATAAAAATAGGCATTAAAAATACAATAAAAGGTAACATACACACAGAGTACACTTACTACTTACTTTAAAATATTAATATTAATACTATGTGAGAGGTGAGTGGCAGGGTGTTTATTGAAATAAAATCAGAATGGCACACCATCATCCTCTAACTTGGCACTTAAAGCAAGAGGCTTATGACTCCTCTTTTTATCACAGCTAAGCTTAGATGCCATCGACAATGAGAGCCAACTAGTTAACAAAAGAGTAAACAAGAGAGAGAACGAGATACAGAGTTGAGACAATGTAAGAACACAAACTGAACAGGTAGTGGACGATCACTTGGTCAGGCGAAATAAATGCGTATTAATATGTGTCTACTTTTAGTTCATTCATGTACGTTTGTGAGAGTTTGTAAAACATTTACCTCAATATTTTTTTTATTATAATAATAATTACCTCACAATACAAATACTCTTACATTGTGTACAAGTTGTACAAGTTAGTACAAAATAAACAAACAGCAACACACCATTTTTAGAGAGAATGAAGATATTATTATTATTATTATTATTATCATAATAAAAAGCACTAAACCCACAAGGGTCGTGAATTGCTATATACTATAGAGTGAAGGCATATGACTAGAGAAAATGTAATTCTTCTGACACTACCTACACAGCCGCTTTATAAACAAATCTCATATTTACATCAATTTTTATTCTGAGTGTATGTATCATGTTTATATGCTATGTAACAGGTTTCATATATAATTTTGAGGAAAATATCATAGATGGATTAATGAAAATGCCTATATTAATATAAAATAAGACATTTAGTGTGCCCAAGAGTGATTATTATTAGGTAGTATTGGCATCATGAGTAGAGAGACTCTTAGCAATTTTAATGTGTACCTGCACACCAGCACAGTGTGTAAGTATATTTAGGTACAGGTACACATAAGTATAATTATCAGAGTACATATAAAATACACAGTAACTTTAAAACACTTGAAATTTTGGAAAGTTTCCTGATATAATAGATGTGGTCACAGAGAATGTAAACAAACTGGGTGGGGGCACCGTATTTGAAAGACCGCTTGCCGAATAGCAAATTTTGGTCATAATTTGACATTGCCGTATTAGTGGAACGTCGTAAGGCAAAACGGCGTAAAGTGGGGCCCTACTGTATATATATTTTTTTCAACAAACCAGCCATATCTCACCAAGGCGGGGTGGCCCAAAAAGAAAAACGAAAGTTTCTCTTTTTAAATTTAGTAATTTGTACAGGAGAAGGGGTTACTAGCTCCTTCCTTTCAACATGCATGGCTTATGGAGGAAGAATTCTGTTCCACTTCCCCATGGAGATAAGAGGAAATAAACAAGAACAAGAACTAGAAAGAAAATAGCAGAAAACCCAGAGGGGTGTGTATTATATATGCTTGTACATGTATGTGTAGTGTGACCTAAGTGTAAGTAGAAATAGCAAGACGTACCTGAAATCTTGCATGTTTATGAGACAGAAAAAAGACACCAGCAATCCTACCATCATGTAAAACAATTACAGGTTTCCGTTTTACACTCACTTGGCAGGACGGTAGTACCTCCCTGGGCGGTTGCTGTCTACCAAGTTACTACCATATATAGGTTGGTAGACAGCAACCACCCAGGGAGGTACTACCGTTCTGCCAAGTGAGTGTAAAACGAAGGCCTGTAATTGTTTTACATGATGGTAGTATTGCTGGTGTCTTTTGTCTGTCTCATATGTCTTGCTACTTCTACTTACACTTACGTCACACTACACGTTTATTTATACACACTCAACTGAGTTTTCTTTGATTTTATCTTAGTTCTTGTTCTAATTACTTTTCCTTTTATATCCATGGAGAAATGGAATAAGAATCTTTCCTCCATAAGCCATGCATGTTGTTAAAGTCAACTAAAATGCCGGGAATAATGGGCTAGTAACCCCTTTTCCTGTAATAATTACTAAAAAGAATAAGAAGGAAATTGTCAAAGTGGGAAGTTTGAATGTGCATGGATGTTGTGTGAATGATAAGAAAGAGATGATTGTGTGATGTTATGAACGAGAAGAAGCTGGATGTCCTGGCTTTAAGTGAAACAAAGCTGAAGGGGGTGGGAGAGTTTCAATGGAGAGGAATAAATGGGATTAGGTCAGGGGTTTCTAATAGAGTTAGAGCTAAAGAAGGAGTAGCAATAATGTTGAAGGATAAGCTATGGCAGGAAAAGAGGGACTATAAATGTATTAATGCTAAAGTGGGTAAAAATGTTGTGGAGGGAGTAGTAGGTAAATTTGGGGTGCCAGGGGTAAATGAAAATGGGGAGCCTTTAATTGAGCTATGTGGAGAAAGAGGTTTGGTAATAAGTAATACATATTTTATGAAGAAGAGGATAAATATACAAGGTATGATGTAGCACGTAATGAAAGTAGTTTGTTAGATTATGTATTGGTGGATAAAAGGTTGATGGGTAGGCTCCAGGATGTACATGTTTATAGAGGGGCAACTGATTTATTGGATCATTATCTAGTTGTAGCTACAGTTAGAGTAAGAGGTAGATGGGATAAGAGGAAAATAGCAAAAACAAGTAAGAGGGAGGTTAAAGTGTATAAACTAAGGGAGGAGGAAGTTCCGGTGAAATGTAACCAACTATTGGCAGAAAGGTGGGCTGGTGCAAGTATGAGTAGTGGGGGGATTGAAGAGGGTTGGAATAGTTTTAAAAATGCAGTATTAGAATGTGGAGCAGACGTTTGTGGTAATACGAGGGTGGGTGCAGGAGGAAAGAGGAGTGATTGGTGGAATGATGAAGTAAAGGGTGTGATAAAAGAGAAAAAGGTAGCTTATGAGAGGTATTTACAAAGCAGAAGTGTTATAAGAAGAGCAGAGTATATGGAGAGTAAAAGAAAGTTGAGGAGAGTGGTGAGAGAGTGCAAAAGGAGACCAGATGATAGAGTGGGAGAGGTACTCTCAAGAAATTTTAATGAAAATAAGAAAAAACTTTGGAGTGAGTTAAACAAGTTAAGAAAGCCAAGGGAATAAATGGATTTGTCAGTTAAAAACAGAGTAGGGGAGTTAGTAGATGGGGAGATGGAGGTATTGGGTGCATGGCAAGAATATTTTGAAGAACTTTTAAATGTCGACGAAGAAAGGGAGGCGGTAATTTCATGCACTGGCCAGGGAGGTATACCATCTTTTAGGAGTGAAGAAGAACAGGATGTGAGTGTGGGGGAGGTGCATGATGCATTACGTAGAATTAAACAGGGTAAAGTAGCTGGAACTGATGGGATCATGACAGAAATGTTAAAAGCAGGGGGGGGGGACAATTAGTGTTGGAAGGGTTTGGGTATTTTTTGTTTAAAAAATGTAAGAAAAAGGGGGGAAGGTATCTAGGGATTGATGGAGAGTGTGTATAGTCCCTTTATATAAAGGGAAGGGGGACAAAAGAGATTGTAAAAATTATAGAGGAATAAGTTTACTGAGTATACTAGGAAAAGTGTCGGTAGGGTTATTATTGAAAGAATTAGAGGTAAGACAGAATGTAGATTTGTGGATGAGCAAGGAGGTTTTAGAGTGGGTAGGGGATGTGTAGATCCAGTGTTTACATTGAAGCATATATGTGAGCAGTATTTAGATAAAGGTAGGGAAGTTTTTATTGCATTTATGGATTTAGAAAAGGCATACGATTGAGTGGATAGGGAAGTAATGTGGCAGATGTTGCAAGTATATGGAATAGGTGGTAAGTTACTAAATGCTGTAAAGAGTTTTTATGAGGATAGTGAGGCTCAGGTTAGGATGTGTAGAAGAGAGGGAGACTATTTCCCGGTAAAAGTAGGTCTTAGACAGGGATGTGCAATGTCACCATGGTTGTTTAATATAATTATAGATTGGGTTGTAAAAATAGTAAATGCTAGGGTATTGGGGAGAGGGGTGGGATTAAATTATGGGAAATTAAAAAACAAAATGGGGGAAATGACACAGTTACTTTTTGCTGATGATACTGTGCTTATGGGAGATTCTAAAGAAAAATTGCAAAAGGTTGTGGACGAATTTGGGAGTGTTTTGTAAAGGGAGAAATGAAAGTGAACACAAAAAAACAGTAAGGTGATGAGAGTATCAAATGATTTAGATAAAGAAAAATTGGATATCAAATTGGGGAGGAGGAGTATGGAAGAAGTGAATGTTTTCAGATATTTGGGAGTTGGCTTGTCAATAGATGGATTTATGAAGGATGAGGTTAATCATAGAGTTGATGAAGGAAAAAAGGTGGTGCATTGAGGTACATGTATATGTGGAGGCAAAAAATGTTATCTCTGGAGGCAAAGAAGGGAATGTATGAAAGTATAGTAGCACCAACACTCTTATATGGGCGTGAAGCTTGGGTTGTAAAGGCTGCAGCGAGGAGGCGGTTGGAGGCAGTGGAGATGTCCTGTCTAAGGGCAATGTGTGGTGTAAATATTATGCAGAAAATTCGGAGTGTGGAAATTAGGAGGTGTGGAGTTAATAAAAGTATTAATCAGAGGGCTGAAGAGGGTTTGTTGAGGTGGTTTGGTCATTTAGAGAGAATGGATCAAAGTAGAATGACATGGAGAGCGTATAAATCTGTAGGGGAAGGAAGGCAGGGTAGGGGTCATCCTCGAAAAGGTTGGAGGGAAGGGGTAAAGGAGGTGTTGTGGGCGAGGGGTTTGGACTTCCAGCAAGCGTGCGTGAGCGTGTTAGATAGGAGTGAATGGAGACAAATGGTATTTGGGACCTGACGAGCTGTTGGAGTGTGAGCAGGGTAATATTTAGAGAAGGGATTCAGGGAAACCGGTTATTTTATATAACCGGACTTGAGTCCTGGAAATGGGAAGTACAATGCCTGCACTCTAAAGGAGGGGTTTGAAATATTGGCAGTTTAGAGGGATATATTGTGTATTTTTTATAAATATGTATATATATGTACTTCTGAACTGTTGTATTCTGGGCACCTCTACAAAAACAGTGATTATGTGTGAGTGAGGTGAAAGTGTTGAATGATGATGAAAGTATTTTCTTTTTGGGGATTTTCTTTCTTTTTGGGTCACCCTGCCTCGGTGGGAGACGGCCGACTTGTTAAAAAATATATATGTACGTATGTATATATAATAATCTTTCAACACTTCGGCCATATCCCACCAAGGCGGGGTGGCCCAAAAGAAAAAAACAAAAGTTTCTCCTTTTACATTTAGTAAAATGTACAGGAGAAGGGGTTACTAGCCCCTTGCTCCCTGCATTTTAGTCGGCTTTTACAACACGCATGTCTTACGGAGGAAGAATTCTGTTCCACTTCCCCATGGAGATAAGAGGAAATAAACAAGAACAAGAACTAGAAAGAAAATTGCAGAAAACCCAGAGGGGTGTGTTTATATATGCTTGTACACGTATGTGTAGTGTGACCTAAGTGTAAGTAGAAGTAGCAAGACGTACCTGAAATCTTGCATGTTTATAAGACAGAAAAAAGACACCAGTAATCCTACCATCATGTAAAACGATTACTGGTTTTCGTTTTACACTCACTATGCAGGACGGTAATACACCTCCCTGGATGGTTGATGTCTACCAACCTACTACCATATATATATATATATATATATATATATATGTTATAGTATATATATCTATGTATATATATATAAATTCTTTATTTCAGGTTACCATGATTCTCATCCTGTGATACAGTGGTTTTGGCTGGCTATTGAGCGTTTTGATAATGAGCGGCGTCTACGATTATTGCAGTTTGTCACAGGCACCTCCAGTGTGCCTTATGAGGGCTTTGCTGCTCTCAGAGGCAGTAATGGTCCTCGGCGATTCTGCATTGAGAAGTGGGGCAAACCATCTAGTTTACCCAGGTTAGTTTACTGCTGTCTTATTGCAGAAACCGATTACAATAAATCTCCTTATAAAGCAACATTACATACATTTGATATACCTTTAATGGGTTGGAAGAATCTTACTACTCTCAAAGCCCGGCCATGGGTCAGGCTCATCTGGTGCTAGCCTGGTCAACCTGGCTGTTGCTACTGGAGTCCCACTGCCCCACATATCCATCGCAGCCTGGTTGATCTGGCACCTGGTGAAGATACTTGTCCAGTTTCCTCTTGAAGGCTTCTACACTTGTTCCATCCATGTTTCTGATATCTTCTGGTAAGATGTTGAATAGTCTGGGACCCCGAATGTTGATCCAGTGTTCCCTTATTGTGCCCACTTCACCCCTGCTATTCACTGGGTTCATTTTTCACTTCCTCCCATATCTCTCGCTCCAGAATGTTATGGCAGTGTGCAGGTTTGGGACCAGGCCCTCGAGTACTTTCTAGGTACAAAAGGGCACCACTTATATGGCAAGTTAGATTCCAGGCTACCGCTGGAAAGCAGAACACCTACTTTTCCACTTATAAATGCATACAAATGCCAGATAACAAGTATATACACTAACATATATTAAGCCAACAGTAGAACTAGGCATTAAAAAACAATAAAAAGTAAAATTCATACACACCTTAAAATATACTTTTTTTTTTTTTTTGGCCATCTCCCACTGAGGCAGGGTGACCCAAAAAGAAAGAAAATCCCCAAAAAGAAAATACTTTCATCATCATTCAACACTTTCACCTCACTCACACATAATCACTGTTTTTGTAGAGTTGCCCAGAAGACAACAGTTTAGAAGCATGTACATGTAAAGATACACAACATATCCCTCTAAACTGCCAATATCCCAAACCCCTCCTTTAAAGTGCAGGCATTGTACTACTTCCCATTTCCAGTACTCAAGTCCGGCTATATAAAAATAACCGGTTTCCCCGAGTCCCTTCACTAAATATTACCCTGCTGACACTCCAACAGCTCGTCAGGCCCCAAATACCATTCGTCTTCATTCACTCCTATCTAACATGCATGCTTGCTGTAAGTACTTACCTTAACATATTTGTAGTCTTAATGTAGGGAGAGAGGTGAATAGTACAGCGGCACCCTGGTTTTCGTCCTTAATCCATTCCAGAAGGTCCGTCAAAATCCAAAATGGACAAAAACCGAAGTAATATTTCCCATAAGAAATAATGTTAATCCAATTAAACCTTTCCAGACACGCAAAAATATTAACAAAAAATACATTTTATAGAGAATGTCTATAATTTTACATACAGAAAACAATGAGAAATAAATATAAAGCACTAATTTTAATGGATAAATGAGCATTTAAATCAATATTACATACTTTTATTGAAGACTCTTGTTGGCATTTGGAAGAAGGCGAGGAGAGGTTATTGTTTGGAAGGGGAATCCCCCCTCCATAAGGACTTCAGATATCAAAGCCCTATCCAGGGTTACTTGCCTTCTTTGTCTTTTACTGGTGCTAGGACCAGCTTGAGTCACTGGATCCCTGTTGCACAAAATATCTGTCCAGAGAAGTGTGACAAGGTTCTGTCACTGAACCTGTTGCAGATGTAGCTTGTTTCAGCTTGGTCAGGGTGATATTACTCAGCAAAAGCTTGCAACCTAGCCCACATTGCACAAATCTCCTTAACCCTTTGGCTGTTTCGGTCGTATATATACGTCTTACGAGCCACCATTTTTGATGTATATATGGGAAGTACAGTGCCTGCACTTTAAAGGAGGGGTTTAGGATATTGGCAGTTTAGAGGGATATGTTGTGTATCTTTATACGTATATATACAGTACAGTAGGGCCCCACTTATATGGCGGGTTAGGTTCCAGGCTGTTGCCAGAAAGCAGACATCGCCGGAAGGCAGAACGCCATTTTTTCCATTTATAAATGCATATAAATACCAGACAACAAGTTTACACTAAATTATATTAAGTTAGTAATAGAACCAGGCATTAAAAACACACAAAGAAAATACATTCACAGTAAATTCATTACTTATCTTAAAGTATTTGTAATCTTAATGTAAGGAGAGAGGTGAGTAGTACTTATTTGTAGGAAGTCAGGTGCAGGTAGCCCAGGTGTAGGTAGCCCTGGCTCCCCATCTCATACTTATTATATGATATTTAAAACAGCCCAGAGAGGTAAAATACACATACAGTACACTCATTATTTACCTTAAAATATGTGTAGTCTTAATATAGGAAGAGAGCTGAGTAGTATTTATTTGTAGGAAGTCAGTGTAGGTAGCCGGTAGGTGTAGCCCGCCTGGGCTACACCTACCAGCTACCTACACATGCCTTGTTCACTGAATTTAGACATTTCTAACAACTACCTTTAGATGCCATCATAAGCGAAGGTAGAAGTAATGAATAATTCATGCCGAAAATTGTAAACAAAAGCGGAGTGAGGGAGTGGCTGGGCCAAACGCAGATTCATACACGTTTTCTCTGATGGCTGAGCAGAGAAAACGTAATGTTGTCCCTCCACTCGGCTACCACACAGGTCCACAAGTATTATTATCAGAGCACACCTAAAATATGCAATAAATGCCAGACAACAAGTTTACACTAACTTATATTAAGTTAGCAATTGAAATAGGCATTAAAAACACAATAAAAGGTAAGATACACACAGAGTACACTTATTACTTACCTTAAAATATTAATATTAATGTGTGAGAGGTGAGTGGCAGGGTGTTTATTGAATAAAATCAGAATGGCACACCATCATCCTCTAACTTGGCACTTAAAGCAAGAGGCATACGACTTCTCTTTTTATCACAGCTAACCTTAGACGCCATCGTCAGTGAGAGCCAACTAGTTAACGAAAGAGTAAACAAGAGAGAGAACGAGATACAGAGTTGAGACAATGTAAGAACACAAACTGAACAGGTAGTGGATGATCACTTGGTCAGGCGAAATAAATGTGTATTAATATGTGTCTACTTTTAGTTCATTCACGTACGTTTGTGAGAGTTTGTAAAACATTTACCTCAATATTTTTTTACTATAATAATAATTACCTCACAATACAAATATTCTTACATTGTGTACAAGTTAGTTCAGAATAAAGAAACAGCAACACACCATTTTTAGAGTGAAGGAAGATAATAATATTAATAATAATAATAATAATAATAATATTATTATTAATATTATTATTAATAATAATAATAATAATAGATTGTTAGATTATGTATTGGTGGATAAAAGGTTGATGGGTAGGCTCCAGGATGTACATGTTTATAGAGGGGCAACTGATATATCAGATCATTATTTAGTCGTAGCTACAGTTAGAGTAAGAGGTAGATGGGAAAAGAGGAAGGTGGCAACAACAAGTAAGAGGGAGGTGAAAGTGTGTAAACTAAGGGAGGAGGAAGTTCGGGGGAGATATAAGCGACTGTTGGCAGAAAGGTGGGCTAGTGCAAAGTTGAGTAGTGGGGGGGTTGAAGAGGGTTGGAATAGTTTTAAAAATGCAGTATTAGAATGTGGGGCAGAAGTTTGTGGTTATAGGAGGGTGGGGGCAGGTGGAAAGAGGAGTGATTGGTGGAATGATGAAGTAAAGAGTGTGATAAAAGAGAAAAAGTTAGCTTATGAGAGGTTTTTACAAAGCAGAAGTGTTATAAGAAAAGCAGAGTATATGGAGAGTAAAAGAAAGGTGAAGAGAGTGCAAAAGGAGAGCAGATGATAGAGTGGGAGAGGCACTGTCAAGAAATTTTAATGAACATAAGAAAAAATTTTGGAGTTAAACAAGTTAAGAAAGCCTAGGGAAAGTATGGATTTGTCAGTTAAAAACAGAGTAGGGCAGTTAGTAGATGGGGAGAGGGAGGTATTAGGTAGATGGCGAGAATATTTTGAGGAACTTTTAAATGTTGAGTAAGAAAGGGAGGCGGTAATTTCATGCACTGGTCTGGGAGGTATACCATCTTTTAGGAGTGAAGAAGAGCAGAATGTAAGTGTGGGGGAGGTACGCGAGGCATTACATAGAATTAAAGGGGGTAAAGCAGCTGGAACTCATGGGATCATAACAGAAATGTTAAAAGCAGGGGGGGATATAGTGTTGGAGTGGTTGGTACTTTTGTTTAGTAAATGTATGAAAGAGGGGAAGGTACCTAGGGATTGGCGGAGAGCATGTCTAGTCCCTTTATATAAAGGGAAAGGGGACAAAAGAGACTGTAAAAATTATAGAGGAATAAGTTTATTGAGTATACCAGGAAAAGTGTACGGTAGGGTTATAATTGAAAGAATTAGAGGTAAGACAGAATGTAGGATTGCGGATGAGCAAGGAGGTTTCAGAGTGGGTAGGGGATGTGTAGATCAAGTGTTTACATTGAAGCATATATGTGAACAGTATTTAGATAAAGGTAGGGAAGTTTTTATTGCATTTATGGATTTAGAAAAGGCATATGATAGAGTGGATAGGGGAGCAATGTGGCAGATGTTGCAAGTATATGGAATAGGTAGTAAGTTACTAAATGCTGTAAAGAGTTTTTATGAAGATAGTGAGGCTCAGGTTAGGGTGTGTAGAAGAGAGGGAGACTACTTCCTGGTAAAAGTAGGTCTTAGACAAGGATGTGTAATGTCACCATGGTTGTTTAATATATTTATAGATGGGGTTGTAAAAGAAGTAAATGCTAGGGTGTTCGGGATAGGGGTGGGATTAAATTATGGGGAATCAAATTCAAAATGGGAATTAACACAGTTACTTTTTGCTGATGATACTGTGCTTATGGGAGATTCTAAAGAAAAATTGCAAAGGTTAGTGGATGAGTTTGGGAATGTGTGTAAAGGTAGAAAGTTGAAAGTGAACATAGAAAAGAGTAAGGTGATGAGGGTATCAAATGATTTAGATAAAGAAAAATTGGAAATCAAATTGGGGAGGAGGAGTATGGAAGAAGTAAATGTTTTCAGATACTTGGGAGTTGACGTGTTGGCGGATGGATTTATGAAGGATGAGGTTAATCAT